ATCGTAATTGAACGTGGTAGGTACCCACACATTGCCCTCGCCATTGTGAGCAACTTTAATAATTGTTTCGAGCCGAGTCATCACCCGAATCTTATTAGATCAAAGAGAGAAGGAGTAGAAGTTTTATTTTATTTTATTTTCCTTTTATTTTCCTTTCTCTCTTTTCTCTCTTTCTAGCCAAGACTTGGACTAAAGAAGAAGTGAAAGACTTCACTTTTTATATCTTTGAATGCTTGGCTCACATCGCGCTACACGTTCAGTTTTAACAGGTCTAATTTTATTTTCAAATCAATTATATCTCGCCGCGTGTTAAGTTTAGAATATTTTTATTCAACTAAATTAAATTATTTCTCGGGTCCTACAAATAAAATCTGATCATGATAATTTATTGTCATGCTGCCACGCGATACCCTATTGTTTCAAAAAACACAAAAAATTCAATTGTCTCAAAATTGACTGGTAATTAGATTTCGCGAGGTGAATCTAATGGTGAGATCCATTTCATCATCCAAGTCATATAAAATTGTTAGTTTTTGACTCATGCTTTAACGACTAATTACTGTTTTACACTTTTAATTAATATTTTAATTTTCTCGAGTTTCATAGATAATGTTAGTTGTAATGATCTCAAGTTTACAAAATAAAGTAATTCAATAATAGAAGTAAACATTTACGAATCAGAGTAAATAAATAATAATTCAATAAACATCATCTGAAGTGTCTCATATATGTTTGTTGCTTCTTAGGAATCTATACAACGAACCTAAGTCGTTCACCCACCACAAATACAAACAATCTCAATCATTACATATAGGACCACATCAAAAACTACTTTACGAAGGGCGTGTACCATATCACATGGCATTGGCGAATCCATTCCCAAGAAAGGCATAACGTCTCTCAGCCTTAGACTTACAAGAACAATAATGGCTGACCTATCAAGATACAACTCCTTACAAGTGTTAGACAACTATCTCACCCCTTACTAGGATAGACTAACCTCTAACACATCAACCAATCACAATTTTCCTCAAAATTCATGTATCACAAATTTCACAATTCCCAATGCACAATAATAAAGAAATTAAAATATGCAAGAGATCAAGAAACCTTTACTTTTACGATATTCACAATTCTAGAATTTTTTCAAACTTCCAATTCTTGAAGAGAAAAATGTATTTTTGAACGTAAAACATGGTTTATTCAAGAATTACAATTTATAAAATCAAGCACAAATTAATATCATAAGGAAATCAAGTAACTTTCAAGAATTAGGGTTTTGGAAACCAAGAACAAGAATTTCTTGAACATGAAACATGTATTTTGTTTTAAAAAAACTTTTCAATCGGAAAGAAATCAAGATTTAAAAATTATCTAGCATATAATTATCAAAAAGATCAAACACATACATAAATATATTTCCTAGCCTCAATGAAAGAATTTAAGAATCCCCTACCTCAATCCGATATTTGATATTAACCCTAGCATGTTTGAATCAATCCCAATGAAAGAATCCCTTCGAATCTTGCATTTCCTATTTCTTTCTCGCTCTCTAAAGGTGCCTAGGGTTGAAAACTGATGAAATATGGCTAAAGGGGACGTCCTTAGACATTTATAGGGTCAGAATCTAAATAGCCTATATGAGTTTGATCGTTGTTAATTTTGCACATGTGTTCAAATGCAACATTTTCATTTCAATGAGCATCCCTTTAGGCATTTATAGGGTCAAAATCTAAACAGCCTATGTGAGTCTGATCATTGTTAAATTCACACGTGTGTTAGAATGGAATATTTAGGTTCAAATGCACTCCTTCGTACGTAAGTGGCATTCAAACATTTGTTGCTCCTAGTATCTCGATTTCTGTCAAAAACCAAAGTAATGTAGCTAAACTATGTTCGAACGAAAGATTGGCAATTGAATGGGACTCCCAATTCTTGTTATAACTTCCACTACAATTTTGACCAATTTAAGAATCGATTAACGAAATATTTGTGAAATACACTTGTGTAACTCTTGGGATCTAGTTTCTTCTCTCAAAATTTCATGTCAATCTAACGTCAAACTAAAAATTTATAGGTAAAATACTAAGGCAATATCTAGTCATTCACTTCCTATCTTCTCCCTTTGATGATTATACTATCCAAAATACCTAATATCTTCTAATAAAACCTATATAATTTATCCCTAACTCATTATTTATATATGAAACACATAGGACTTAATATTTATATAATTATAAATATACGGGGTTTTACAATCAACCCCCTAAAAGAAAGTTTCGTCCTCAAAGCTCACCTCAAGTAGAGAATAGGTGTGGGTACTTCTCTCGCACCTTTAATTCTGGTTCCCTTTTAGCTTCCTCCACTCCATGGTATTGCCATAGTACTTTCACCAGTAATATGATCTTATTACTAAACACCTTCTCCTTGGCATCAATAATCCTCACCGGTTGCTCTTCATAAGTTACCCAATCCTAAATTTCAATTCCTTCCAAATCCACTACATGTGAAGTATCAGGTTCACACTTCCTTAGCATTGATAAGTGAAACACATCGTGTACTCCTAATAATTGAGCTGGTAATTTGAGTTGATAGGCTACCTTTCCCACTTCTCTAATCACATTCAAATGGCCCTGTATACTTTGAGGCTAACTTTTAATTCTTACCGAATCTAAACACTCTCGTCTTGGGTGAGACTTTAAGAAACACATAGTCTCCTAATTGAAATTTCAAAGTTCTTCTCCTCTTATCAGCATAACTTTTTTGTTTACTATGAGAGGTCATAATTTTTGTCAAATTAAGTGGACTATTTCGGTAGTCTCTCTAACAATTTTTTGGTCAAAATAAGCTACTATCTGTCTCTCTCTCTCTTTCTCTCTCTCCAATTTTTGCCTAACACGTTAGTGTTTTGCATGGTCTCCTATACAATGCCTCATAAGGTGCCATTTTTATTCTAGCTTGGTTACTGCCAGCTATACCCCTATAACCTCACTATCTCCTGAATGTACAGTTGACCCAAAGTCACTAAATTACTCGTGGTCTTGATAGGTATAAAGTGGGCAGTCTTTGTCAATCTATGAATAATCACACAAATAGCATTATGGCCCTTAACATTTATAGGCAACTCTGACACAAAATCTATAGTAACATGATCCTACTTCTACTTGGGAATAGATAAAGATTGTAATGATCCTCCCGGTCTCTGTTGCTTAATTTGAACTTGTTGACAAACTGTGCACTTCCTGATGTACTTAGCCACATCTCTTTTCATTCTCTTCCACCAATATTGACATTTCGTGTCTCTATACATCTTGGTGCTACCTGAATGTATTGAAAATTTAGAACAATAGCTCTCCTCCAACATTTCTTTCTTTACTTGGTTGTTATCTTGTACACACAGTCCTCCCCAAAATTGATTTTCGTCACCACAACCCAACTTAACAATGACAAATAATTTTAATTAATATTCAATTAGTTCACTCTCAATCAATTTCATGGTGATCCCAAATCCCCAAACTCAATTGCACAACTACGTATTAATGAATAGTCAATAAATCAGATCCACAAACATATAGTGTGCGTGTGTGCTAATAAATGCAAGTGTATATGATAAAAAATAAAAAACATAAGAAATTTGTTGACGTGAAAAACCCTCAAAAAAAAATAGCAGAGAACCTTCTCTATTCACCAAAGAGTAATCCACTATTCGCAAATTAAACATTAAAGTACTCAAGACTTATATCTCAACCAATTCGATGATTAGATGCTCCTTTCCTTACTATGTCTTTCTATCGAAAGTCCTTCTTTCACGTCTAGTGTAGCTTCACTTGGACCTCCCTGCCGGACAATTTGTCTAGGCCTTGAGTGATTATGGGCCAATAATCTTTGGTATGCACACATCAATGAGTTCGTCAAACTATCAAGATCTACAACTCCAATTTGTGAGGTTGAGTAGAAACTCTAATGGTAGCCTTTGGATTTTAGGGTTCAAGGTTGTGATGGAAGCTTTCAAAGTAGAGGAATGGTTTTCCCTCTTAGACATCTCTTTAGAGGCTTAATGTAACCCCCTAAATGCAGGGGTCTTTTCTCAACCAGCGGAATTATTCGTAAATGCCTCATAACTTAGCAATATATCATCATAATCCCATCACCAGGATAGTAACCCACACAGAGTTTGGGTAGAGCCTCACTTGTACTGGAGCACTCCTAAATGCTTAACCTGTGCACATATCAACCACTTGACCATTCCAAAGTCTATCCCCATCAATGAGGACTTAATTTTTGACCAATTACATCTCGTGAATAAGAGGGCTCAAGATTCAAAGGCTTGGCAGAGTCATATTCAAATTTTTTTGAAAATTTTTGGAAGAGGTACAGGTACCTCTTACACATGGTATTGGTACCCAAGCCTTATGTCTTCCATGTCCCTTCCATTTTTCAAGTACTGGTACTTAATCATTTGGGTACCGTTACCAGTACCTGAGCCCACTATTTGCGTGGTACTGGTACCTATATGTCGTGGTACTGGTACCTAAGTCAACTGTCTATCAAGGTACCGGTACCTAGTGTTTAGATACCGATACCTAAGCCCACTAGAATCCAGGTACTGGTACCCATAGGTCAAGGTACCAGTACCTAGGTCATCCATTAGCGTGGTACCAGTTTAATCACTTAGATATCGGTACCTAGGCCTAGATTTTCCCCAACTCTTTCCAATCTTCAACCTTTAACTATCCAATCTCTTTTCCAACACATACATACATTCATTAACACCAATTATAGTCCATCAGAGTCAGTTACAAAACTCTTTACACAAATTTACAAGTTCAAAATGAATTACACAATTGATTTACATAATGTAATTCAAAGTCACATCTCGAATTCTTCATCAATGAGGGTTCAAGTGAGGGTCGTCCATCGACTCTTGTCCTGCACCTAAAATATTATTCCTATAAGGGGTGAGTCATGCTCAATAAGGTACACTCACTACATTGATCCAGGATCAACTACCTGGACTAGATGGGAATCTAGGAGGAACTCAAGCACAACCAAAACTAGTGTATGAGGTAAGGAATGTAGAAATTCCTCCATTACCAAATGACCATCTGGTGAATGATAGGGAGCAGTTGGGAAATGATCAGGGAGAGCTTGAGAATAGATCCATTATGATCTTGAAGGAGTTTCTTAAGCGACATCCACCATCATTACAAGGAACTACCAAACCTTTAGAAGCAAAAAAGTGGTTACGAGAAGTTAAAAAGGTAATGGATGCTATAGGCATTGCTGTTAGGTATAGAGTAAAGTTATCTACATATCTGTTCGAAGGAGAGGTTGATCATTGGTGGGATCTGATCAAGGGTAGAAAACAAACGAAAAGGATAATGTGGGAGAGGTTTGATACAATTTTCAATGGTAAGTATTTTACTAAGAATGTTAGAGATGGGTTATTGCTGGACTTATTAAACTTACAACAAGGGGTAATGGGTGTGGCCCAGTATAAGTCACATTTGTAGGAGTTATCACATCATGCTGGTGAGAATGTACCAAATGAAGTGAAGAAAACCAAATGCTTTGAACTTGGATTGAACAGTGCCATCAGAGAAAGGATTTTACCCTTGAGGATAAAAAATTTTAGTGAGTTGGATGAGGTAGCTTATATTATTGAGAAAGAAATGAAGCCAAGAGAGGTAAGGAATGAGCAAGCTCAGTAGAGAAGCAATCAATATTATCGATATGAAGGAGGACAAATGAATCACCCTTATGTGCGACCAAGTTATTATAATAATGAAAAGAATAAGGTGGGGAATGGACAGGGAATAACAATAACCCAAGGAATTGGCATACCTATTTTTAATGTGGGAAGACAGGTTATATGAGGAATAGGTGTCCATAGTTGCAGCAAGGGGATAACAAGAACAATCAGAAATTTCAGCAGGGTGAAGGGTCAAAACCAGCAACACAAGGACAAGCTGCACCACAGAACCAATATGGTGGAGATAAGGAGAAATTAAGGTACGATCGAGTGTATCAGATGACTACGAAACCAATTGACTAATGGGTCAAGGTAAGTGTTTTTACTTTGGAAGCTTGAATATAGGTATGCTGATATGTATTGTTAGTCCATGAGTGTAGCTAATTAACTTTCAAGGTTGAAATTTATTTTAAGGGGGGTAGACTGTAATAACATGGGTTTTGGTAATAGAAATCGGATTAGAATTTGGGTGTGTGCAGTTAGGGGTTTGAAGTACAGATAGTCGGACTGTAAACTGATGACTCTAGAGTGGCGCATAGATGTTATAGAGATGGTTACGAGGTTTTTCTAGGTGTAAGAATGTGGTTGGTGAAAAGGAAATGAGCTAGGAAGCACAAATGGGCGAAGTAGGATTAATGCGTATCGGTGAGTCAAGAATGCGGGAGTTGCAGTAATGGATCAAATTGAAGATCAATTCGATGTCCAAAAATTTAAAAGATAATTTTCTAGTGCTTAAGTTAATATGTATATGTAATTGTGAAAAAAAATATTTTAAATTAATTTTTGAAATTAGACAAAATTAAGAATTTACCAAAATGCCATTGAAGCTTCAAGGATCTTCTAGACTTGCAAGGTGGCTGATGGAGGCTTGCTAGGTTGCATGGAGGGCACCCAGCAGCTTGGGGGAAGATGAGTGAGCTTCTTGGTGGAATAAAAATGGAGAAAAATCCAGTTGGAATAGAGAGAGAAGTTAGGGAGAGAAAGTCTAGGCTTGAAATTTTGAAACTCTACAAAGTGACTTTCGAGCCTCTAGAGGTATACTCCTAGACTAATTAGGATGCTAGGAATTCATTCATGCTATTAGTTTTCTATTTAGTTAACTATAGTTGCATGAATTAGTTGTTTAAATTTTTGGGTCTAAGGATTTCATGAAACGGGTATGTAGATTCAAAGGGCTTTTGCTTAATTAGTTGATTAAGTTGTGTTTTTGGTATGTCAAGGAATTTTTTGGTGGTGTTTTGGTGGCTCGTCGTGGTGTAATGGCGGCGTACGAGTTTAAAGAAGTGAAAATTTGATTTGATAAAAACTTGTTTAAGCTTCGAAAGGGGGCTTGGGTATAGCTAATTTGAGGTTAAGGAACCCATTTTCGGCCTTAGAATTAGATTTAGAGGCCGTTTTGGGGGGGGGGGG